TTACTTACATTTTAAAAGTTATTAAGCAACACAATTGCACAGGGAGATCACTACAGATAAGTGTTGCAAGTTACTACTCTGTAATCATACCAGACAAGCAGACTCTGCAAACAAATAGAAGGACGGGCTGCACTGGGTTGAACACTATAATGTCCAGGAACCACTGGTAGAACGAGCTCAAGGGAGGAAACGTAAAGTGCCAAGTTCGGTTTGACACAGTTGTGATCCAATGTCGAGTCAGTAGATCTGGAGGACATTCCAAGCAGGAGGCTCCAGCATTCCAGAGAGATAGCAGCAAGGAGGAATTAGGAGTTCCAGCCATATGACGAGCATCTGGAGAGCCAACAGATCTGCAACATCTTTGCATGCCAGTTGATAAAAGCCCCTGGAGGACCAGCTGAGTGGACAGACCTTAGAGGACCCACAAAACAGAGCATAAGGAGCACAAGCAGACCTGAAATCAAAGGCAGTACTGATAGATGGGCAAATTCTATGACCACAACAAGAGAGAGTTAATCAACGACCATGGCTTAAACTACACAGTTTTCAACACTCCCTGCATTAGATGTTAGGGTTAGCATTACAAGACAAGTTATAAATATAGATGACTCAGTCAAGACAAATACTTTTATACAAAAAAAAATACAAGTTATCCCCAGTGAAGACCTGGTCTCCTAGACAACCGGGACAAGACCATAGGAACCAGTTGAGTCCTCTGCACAATGTGAATTTGCTGCAGCCTGGATGGTTGCTGGTTTTATCTTGCCAGAGGAGAACTGGCCTCCCAACTGAGCCTGGTTTCTCCCAAGGTTTTTTCTCCATTCTGTCACCGATGGAGTTTTGGTTCCTTGCTGCCTGTCGCCTCTGGCTTGCTTAGTTGAACTGAATTCAGTGATGTCATCATCCAGCTCAGTTCAGTTTAACTAAGTTCTATGATGAACTATCTTTAACTGAAAATTGTGTGTTCACTATTGTCATTTTGAACTATTGACACTATTTTCCTATTTAATGCCTATCATTGGTTGATCAGGATGTACAGAAGGATGGCCATGATTCCCAGCGGCTTTGGAGAGTTTGGCTTAACCCAGTAAAGAGAATATATACAAGATTCAATTGAGTTTCAGTTGGCAGTTTATTGAAGAAAGCGCTCCACATCTCTTTAGCTCAAAGAGCAAACAAGCCTAAAAGAGCATAATTCTGGAGAATGAGCACTCACCAATGAAACCCTCAATGAATACAAGTGAGCTGCCATTAAGGAACGGGACAGGATCACATCCAACTCATCCAAGCAGCTGCACAGCTCACCTGGAAGACATGGAATGAGATTTATGGTTTACATTTAACCCTAATGTCTCAAAGGAGATGCATAAAGAGCATATTTCCAGGTATTTAAGAAAAGGAAACCCGTTCAAGGTGACCTTGAGAGAGAGAAGAGGGCATCCGTGCCTGGTTGATTCTAGTCTCAGCCATCATGCCCACGGACCGCTGGCTGAACATCTGATGCATACAGCACACAAAACTGGAAACATTACAGGAGTTTCCAAGTCGTCATCTGATTGGTTGAATTATATAGGATTTCTGGGAGACGCGCCACGTTCTTTAACATTCCCCCTGGAAACAAATATGCCATGACACCAAACTACCTCATGGAAGAAAGCGGTCATGTTTACAGCTGTGACAATGAGCACTTAGGATTAACAAAAGGCTGGTTTTCAAAAGTATGTGAAATATGTAAAGTTCACAGCATAGATGCTTGGAGTACTTCAGTATTTACTTGAATAATCCTCACATCATCAATGTAAAGGATAATGCATCCAACTTGGATAATGGTACATGTGAGGTTACCATGGATCTTATATGCATGCAAATTCAAAAGTTGTTTAAATAGAAATTTATAGCTCAGGATAGAGAGAACAAACATGCTTGTTTGGCATGTGGTGTGGAAGAAAGTGAAGTCATGTCCTCTAGTAGAAACAAGGTCTCAATCAAGCCAAAGATGAGCAGACAGCGGCTTCAGATTTGGGACTATGGAGATAAACCACTGTACGCAAATGTGGGTGGAGGGCAGAGAACATTCATAAAAAATAAAAATAAAATAAAAAGCTTTATCTGCACTTGCCTTCCTTCATGAGTCAGGTCTCCACACAAGGGCTGAGGCTCCTGCATTACTGCCAAAGTTAAGTGCACAAGTGATCATTTTTTTTAAATAAATAAAAACTTAAAGGGACACTAACAAAAGATAATGTGAAGCACCTTTGAATATACTGAAACATACTGATCTCAAACATTTGAGCAGCTTGTTAATGTTTTATCCAAAGCATCCTTCACCAGCCATCCCTATAACTGTACTGAGCTTGGGGCGCCCCATCTATCTGATCTGAGTACAGTGAAACGGCACCTGCAGGTCACAGACTCCCTGTTTTGATCCTCAGAGTCACAACCTTTGGTCAAACAAAGCCATCTATAGCTATAAAAAGAAAAAACACTATAACCACCACACAATACAATGCGGTCACAAATGATGTGAGGGCTTCAATCATGGAGGATCACAGCACATCCAGCCTCATGTTGCCCAACATGCCTGCAGGACAAAACTCAGTTAGTAATGGAAAGAAATTTTAAAAAGTTTTTGAACAAGAGTACATTTAAGTATAGGTAGGGCTGGTAAAAAATTAAAAAAAAATCGAATGCGATTTTGTGTAGCTTGTCAGTGATCTACGGCTCTGTGTAGTAAATGCCGCTCCATCTGAAAGCACGTGCTGGAGATTTACTAATCACCAGAAGTGGCTTTACTGACGAGATTCGCATGAAATTCGCATTCTATTTTTTTGCCCAGCCCCAAGTATAGGTAAGTGTACAAGCTGAAGATGAAGACAGGAGTTAGTGTATTCTGCTGGAATACAGGTTTAAGATCTGATAAAGCCGTCAATCAGAAAAGATCAAATGAGGCTAGAAGAGACAGCATTTCTGCAGCATGAGGCTCATGAAGATGGACTCTGGAGTCACCAATGATGATGAGTGGGCCTTCAATCAAGGAGGGGGGGGAAATCTGATCTGGAGTCTGAAATTACTCTTGAATTTCATTCAATTCTTGGCACTAATTGAGTATTTGTGCTGTATAATTTATAAAGCTGATGGAGAGCAGAGTGCCGATGTGTCCTCTTATTAAATTCCAGGTCTCAGTCGAGAGTGTGACTACAGCTGTAATGCATGATCAAACAGTACAGTCCTGCACTTTAAACAAAACACATTCCATCAACTATTGATTAATTATACCGCATAAAACAAACATTAAAACCACATAGTCTTTTGAACAAGGTTAAAGAGTAAATAACCACAAACCTACAGAAAACAGACAAAACAGTGCTTTAGTGGGCTCCCTGTCGCCATGTTTGAGGCACCACATCTATCTGATATCTGACCTCAGTAACAATGAATTTGCACCTGCAGGGGATTGACTCAACTCACTACATAGCATTGATCAAAGACTGCAATGGGTCATTCTCCACCACAAGGCTTGGTTCGACCCAGTAAAGAGCAATATACAGTGTTGTAAATATTGAGAAACACAGGAGGACTCACCTCAGCAGCTGTTGATTTTCTCAGGAGAAACCGCTATTAACACTTTCAGGGCCTCACTGGAACAAAAGCAAACCATTAAAAGTAACTGCATGCCGGTAACGGGTGTAACAGGAACACTGAGCTGCTTGTGGAAACCAGATCCATCTGTGAGCCATTTATAATGATATTAGATTAAAAGACCTTGGAATTCTGTAGGACTGACAAAGTCAACTACGAGTGGACTTCCATCAAGGAGTGGAGGTGAAGAAAAAAAACTGAGCTCTTTAAGATGTGCAGATTATCTGTAGAATGAAATTACAGATAAAACAGAGTTAACATTTGTAGTTGCACAAAACTGAAACATTAACCAAGTCAGCTTCTCTACAGATCTTAATTTTAATGGAAAAGATTTTGGTTGAGAGAGGAAAGTGTTGATTTGCTAATCTTAGGCTTGACATTGATAAAAGTCAGCTTTGGGACACTGGAATTGACAGACGGATGAAAAAAAAGTGAGTGAGCAGCAGAAGGACGTATTTAAGCAGAGTTTATATTCTATTAAGCATTAGAGAGGAGTACATACAAGAGAGTCAAAAGTAATTACCTCTCAACATCCTTGGTCATCAACACAGACGCCTCACTTTGGGGGGGGAAACAAAAACAAAGTACAAACTAAAAGAAATGGTATCAAACAGACAAAAAATAAAAAAATAAAGAGGCACAGCAGACATGTGGAGAGCATTCATTTAAAAACTCAAACAGTCACACGAGGTAAACTGACATTGACAAGCAGTTATCAATGCAGCCATGAATGAAAAAACCCTGAAACTATTTAGTGTGCACATTGCTATACGGATTTCAAACTTTTCCTATAACCAAATATTGTAAGGGCGGTTTAGTCAAATCTTTGGAGGACTCTCACCTGGGCAGCTGTTGAGTCTCCTGAATAGAATGTTTTACAAAAATGGGTTTAATACCAGACTTCAGGCACTGTCAACAATTTGAGATGACATTTTAAAAAGGAAATTTTCTACACATGGTGCTATAGCATAACTTGTGTCAATACACATTTACGCTTATCAAGTCCTCAGGATGTTGAATATCAGTGATTTAACAAAAATGGCGCATTACTCAGATTAATTACATACACAGAAATGCTTCACAACCACTGCGTTTGGTCTGGATCCACAATTTAAACCATTATAATTCAGCACTGCTCAGAACTAAATAAACCTTTACAAGCATTGTGTGGATTAATTTCTGAATGTTACTCACCCATTTCCAGCGACAAGGAAGCACTTGAAAAAGCAATTAACCATTAATCCTCAAACTCACAGATCGTTTGTCAATAAAATAAGAATCTAATTCCTTAAGAACATGCGAAATTTTCTACACATGGTGCTATAGCATAACTTGTGTCAATACACATTTACTCTTATCAAGTCCTCAGGTTTTTTACTCAGGCATTACTCAGATTAATTACATACACAGAAATGCTTCACAACCACTGCGTTTGGTCTGGATCCACAATTTAAACCATTATAATTCAGCACTGCTCAGAACTAAATAAATATACAAATAAACCTACACAAGCATTGTGTGGATGAATTTCTGAATGTTACTCACCCATTTCCAGCGACAAGGAAGCACTTGAAAAAGCAATTAATTATTAATCCTCAAACTCAAAGATCGTTTGTGAATAAAATAAGAATCAAATTCCTTAAGAACATGCCAACTTTGAGTCTTAACTGAAAAGCAGACAAAAAAAACACTAGTGATAAACTAAAGAAACACAGTTATGGAAATATACATTCACAATACACACTGAATACTGTCCTCTGAGGCGGTTACTAGAAAACTCGCCTGCCTGTAGCTCACCTCCAGTAACCCTTAGACCTTGATTAGTATATTCAGGTGTGTTTGATTTGGGTTGGAGCTGAACTCAGCAGGACTGTGGCTCTCCAGGACCGACATTGGCCACCCCTGGGTTAGATGTTTCAGTACCATTAAAATCACATCTATATAAGCAGTGTAAATAATTACAAGAACAAAGTACAAGAGAGAAATAAACAACATTAAAAAAAATACTCACACACAATGATTTCAATCTCCAGTAGGTTATTCACTCTCCAACCTCCATCTTACACTGACAATCCTGTGAAATTTCAGCATTTATACTCATGGACGCAACTATTGACGGGGATGCAAGCAACCAGGAATTACATTCACCAAATAACCAAATCTCAAGATTATAATCTTTTTGTACATGCATTAATCCACAAATTATTATTTAAAAGCCATTTATGCATAGTTCAAGTAATTAAATTTTAAAACCACAAAAATCCATTTTATCATTTGGTTTCTCCCACATCCCATGATGCACCACAGCACAGATATAAAAGTTCATTCCAGGAGATGTTCTGGTTTTTCTAGCGGTTCCAGTAGTGATGGGAGAAACAAAGCTTTTTGAAGCATTGAATCAATTGAACCAATTGCTTCGAAAAATTATTCAATGTTTCAAAGCACTTGAAACAGCACACGCTGGCGACACCTGCTGGTGAAAATGTTGTAAAAGCATCAAGAACTCTTCATCAAACTTATAAAACAAATGGAAATGTTTTTTTAAAGAAATACCATATTTAAAAATAAATAATAAACACTTAAATACTGTTAAATATTAGTGCTTGTGTTATGTGTTTTATTTAAGTATAATCAAACCCTTAACACACAATGAACTAAATTAATTATTTAATGAATTAATTGATTTATGTAATTATTTAATTAAGTGTTATCATTAGAGCTGTCTATAAAAACCAGCAGGCAAGAGTAGTGTTATCAGTCAGGAGAAGGAGGTGGATTTAATTCTATCGTACGCTCATTTTGTTATTTTTAAGGTATGATGTGATTTGTAGGTTGAAAGTACTGAATGTTTTCACACATTTTTTAAACTATATAGCCATCTGTGCAGTGGCGGATTAAGACTCTTTGGTGCCCCTGGGCAACGACACCTAGAGTGCCCCCCACAAAAAATAATTCGATTTAAAAAAATTAATGAATGAATGAAATGTGCTTCATGTGATCATTTAGATTTTTTTTTTTTTACAAAATGTTATATTAATAAACTGATCTGATAACAAGGCAACAAAAATCCTTACAAAATCAGGTTACCACTTTTTACAGTGTACTCTGAAATTATTATATAATTGTTATATTATTATATACCTTATATCATATATTATGATATAAATTATTTATAACTTGTGAACCCACCTCTTACAGGTGTAATCTGTTCTAAGATATGATATAAGTCTGAACTGTATGCAGCAAATTGAAACATTTTATAACTAGTGAAGCCAACTGTTACAGGTAAAATAATAATCCAATCTGTTACTCACTTCAGACTCTATGGAAAAAAAGAAAGAGTGGATAATCTTTTTAGAGTCATTGTTGTCCTCAGCTCATTTTTCATTAATTTATATTTAATTTACAAAAACCTTTTCTAATGTTTTACTCCCTTGTGTAAAAAGGATGTTTTCAGAAATGCAACAATGAGGGCATGGTCTTGTGTGCAATTACATATACAGCGCTTAACAAATTTATTAGGCCACCACCCAAGAGGTTTGTGCCACAGCTGCTTGTTACTTGTAATTTTTCTGAAATGGTTAATCCACCAGTATGTGTAATGCCGAATTCACACTGCATGATTTTCAAACTCATCGGATCACCGTTGTTTTCACACTGCGTGACTATCTGGGGTTGCATTCAGTCGCTGCTGTGTTCACATTGCACGATGGATCGGCGACAGGAGGTTACACACTGCATGACTTCACAATAGGAAGAATCGGCGACAGCTCTGTCTGGTGCAGGGTTGCCAGGTTTTCGCTACAAAACCCGCCAAATTGCTACTCAAAAGTAGCCTGAAATTAGCCCAATTGCTTTCGAGGGGGTCCCCCAGTAAAAATCGCGTTCGGGGGGTAAAATACACATTTTTGTGGTGGGGTTCTCCTGGTACAATTCACATTCCAGGGCCTAAATATCCCATTATTGGGGTCGCTTCAACCTGCTGACATAAAAAACAACCGGCGGCAATCGCGGATTTGGCAACACTCACGTTTCATATAACTCCTCCCTGAACTTCCCGCTGCCCTGTATCTTGGTCTCTCATTGGCTGTAGGTCATCGCTGATGTGTTTTTCAGTCAGAACTCATTTCACACAGCGTGATTGTGAATCGCCGACAGCTCCAGATATTTAGCATGCCAAATATTTCACGGGCGTCGGCGACGTGTCGGCAATTCCCTCAAATCACGTCTTTGATCATTCACACTGCGTGATTGTCACTCGCATGAACGAGCACCGATTTTCCTCCGATTTCGGGCATTTGTCGGCGATTTCGCAAAACCTGTCGGCGAGTGAAAAATCAGGCTAAAATCGTGCAGTGTGAACTCAGCCTTAGATCTTTAGTCAAAGTAGTGTTTCTAATGCTAAAAATATATAATTATTGTTGGGACTGAATGATTCTAAGATAGATTGCACAAAAGTTTAATTTAAAAGCAAGTCTTTGGGAACAACTAGAAACTATTTGGAAGTCAGTAACAACAGAGACTGTGGAAAAGTGCATAAAATTTATGCCAGAAAGAATGCAAGCTTTTATCAAGGCCAAAGGAGGCCATACAAAATAAAAATAAAATAGCCTATTTATATTTTTTGGTTTATCGGTTTTGGTTATTATGTGTGAATAAAGACTATTTAGTTGTTTCAGTTTGTTATTTGCCCAATGATAACACAATTTTTAGTTTTAAACAAGTTTTTGACGGGTGGTCTAATAAATTTGTTAAGCACTGTATATAGCTACATATAGTTTTGTGAGGATTTGAACTGAAAATAAAACTTACAAACTCACTCGTTTACACTTTGCCCCTTTCTTGATTTGCAATGGCTGCAAAGTACAACATGAAAGCGCAAGGCTGACGCTCCATAGCGGATTCACACATCCATGAGTGAGGCATTTCAGTTGAAGAGACAGGAGTTGCGCGACAGCATGCTCCTAGAATCTGTTTGAGTAATATATGGCCGTCAAAACGAAACGGCATGGGTTCACGTATTAGGCTGGCCTATGTGTGAATTTGGCGATAGATCGCACATCCACTGTTTCACGCATGAGAAAAAAAAGAAGAAAAAAAAAACCTTTTAACAAAACTTTCAGAGAACTTAGTATGTTCTGATGAAGGGGTAGCCTATGTATAGGCCACGGCTATATAGACGTTTCAGAATACATCGCTTGTTTTACCGCAGAACATTTATTTGCGTGGTGCCCCCCTGGACGTGGTGCCCTGGGCACTTGCCCAATTGCCCATATGGTTAATCCGCCTATGCATCTGTGTTAAAGGGAAGTCATCCTTTATTTAACCCACAACATCTGGCCCTGAATAGGCCTATTCTTTATTTTTTATAGTAAAATTCTGTGGGATTTCATATTTCATATATGATTAACTGTGCAACCAGAAGTGGTTCATGGGTTCACTTTGAGATCAACACCCCCTAGTGGTGAACCATCGGAGTTTCGAAAAGTTTTCAGACTTAACGAAGCTTTGTTTGCTAAAATCACATGACCTGGTCGGTTTGATACGCACTCCGAAACATTGATTCGAAACAAAAGATTTGCAAATGTTTCGAAGCTTCGTGAAGCAGTGTTTCAAACCCGCCCATCACTAGGTTCCAGAAAGCTGTCAGATTGGGTGCTCAAACCGGCCGTTTTGTTATTTTTTTTAAATTTGTTAAATAAGTACTCTACTATGCTCAGCTGTGACTGTACGGAGTTTTACAGTTATATTGAAGTTGAAATTTAAAAAGTGCCATGACCTGCTCAACATAAAAAGGTAGGAATGATTACATATTGCATATACAACAGTTCTCTCTGGTCCTCGAATCTGATTGGCTGAGAGGTCTTTACAACCATGAGATATTCACCAATATCGCTATGGGAACCGCTTTACTGTTCTAATGTTCAGTGCTCATTAACCCGCTGAGAGCAGCCTCACCTCGGCCAGATCTTCAGGAGGTTGCCGCTAGATCTGATGTCGCTCTATAATGATTAAACATGAGATATAATTTGTTTTGGGTAAATCTAACGGGCAATCTCCGGTCTCATTAATCTATTATTTGTTCCAGAGCAAATAGTTTTGGCTGAGGGCAAAGTCTCATAACATTATTGCGTATTTTATATAAAGTGAAAGTGAACAGACATGTGGCCAAGTATGGTAACCCATACTCAGAATTTGTGCTCTGCATTTAACCCATCCAAGAGCACACACACAGCAGTGAACACACACACACATACACACACACCGTGAACACACACCCGGAGCAGTGGGCAGTCATATTGCTGTGGCGCCCGGGGAGCAGATGGGGGTTCGGTTCTTGCTCAAGGGTCTCACCTCGTGGTATTGAAGGTGGAAGAGAGTGCTGGTCATTCACCCCCCACTCCCCCCTCCCCTCCATTTTGATTTTGATGTTTTTGAATGTAAAAACCATGCGAACGTCATAAGTGGACCTCAAACGAGTGGCTCAAGGCCAGCGATTTTCCTGAGTTCAGTCAAATCACGGTTGATCATCATGAGTCAGGTCAAGTCACAGTTCATTATTATGAGTCTAGTCAAGTCCCCACAGATATTCATGAGGCCAGTCAAGTTTCAGCTGTTCTTCGTGAGGCAGGTCAAGTCTCAGCTGATCTGCCAGAGTCTCGTCACATCTCAGCTGTTCATCCAGGGTCACGTCCCATCACAGCTGATCATCCAGAGTCACGTCACATCACGTCTGTTTGCTCAAAATCCTGTCACTTCCTGTCTGTTGCATCCAGATCAAGGACTGTTCTTCAGTATCCCAGACTGGCTTCCAGCGTGGAGGACCCACCGCTG